CCTATACTACTCCTCTCTGCTCTCACCTGCCCCCACCACCCACCTGCCTCCTTTATATTTCAACTCTATAACTTTTAGTCACTGCCAAAGTGGTCTTCTACAATATCACGGAGGCCCTTTCCTGACCTTGAGGAATGGGAAGAAAAGAACTATGGGGAAAGAGGGAGAAAGGAGTTGCTCCATTTTTATAGATTAAATATGTCTATCTAGACTTCAGATGATTTAGACATGACAATCTACTTGAATACCAAAATCTTAGCTATTTCCTTCAGATCTGTCCAGATAACCTGGAGTCTGACCTGACATGTGGGACTAAAGGGATGATCCACCTGCCTGGCTGAGGGAAAGCTCCTTATGCCCACTCTGTCCAGATATTATGGTGCCAGAGTGACCCTCAACTCAACCTGGCTGGTCTCCCTCTGACTTTTTTTCATTCTGTTGCTAACCTTTGTCTATGTCCCTTTCTCTGTCCTCTCTGTATTATTTCTAATCTCAGCTTAACCAGCAGTGTTCATAACCATGCTGCCTCCTTCACATGCCTCCTCTCCTTGGAATTTGTAATGGTTTTTAATTGTCAACTTGACTGTCATGGGGTGACAGATATTTGGATAAACATTTCTTAGGTGTGTCTGTGAGAGCCTTTCTGGATGAGAGTAACATCTCAGTGGCAAACTGAGCAATGCAGATGCAGTGGACTCCTAAAGGGAATAAAAAATGATGTAAGGGGGAATTTGCTCTATCTGTGTTTGAGTTGGGAAGTCAGTTTTCTCCCACATTCAAACTTGGTCTGGAACTTTCAGGCCTTCAGAATCAGAACCTCACCACTGGCTCTCCTGGGTCTCTGACTTACTGACTGCAGATCTGAGGACTTCTTAGTTCACATAATCCCATGAACCAATTCCTTATAATAAATATTTCATATGTATAATAAACAATATAGGGCCTCGCCGGTGGTGCAGCGGGTTGAGCACAGCGCTGGGAAACTGTCAGCAGCCTCTGCAGCGAGGGTTTGATTCCTGGCAGGCCAGGGAGATTCCCACATGGCGTGGGAGACCTCTCCAGTTGCTCCCACTGCTCCCCTGAGCAGTGCTTTCGGTCAGTCTGCCTGTTCTGCTTCCCACTCTGTCTCTGGTGAATCCTCTCACCCTCCTGCACTTCTGGCCTGTACCCCAGCTCTTGTATAAATAAAAAATAAATATTTAAAAAAATAAACAATATACATACATACATACACCTTATTGGGTCTGTTTCTCTAGAAAAACCTAATTTATACAAGATCCTAGCATCAAAAAAAAAAAAAAAAGAAAAGAAAAGAAAGGATTGGAACTTTCTCTTCTAGGAGGCTTGTAACATCTAAGATTTTTTTCTCTAAAATGTTTTGAAATTCAATTCTTAAAATGTGGGCCAAATTGTACTCTATATTCCTTTCTCTGACTAATATGAATCCCCCAGAAAATGAGGTCACTTTCTTAGACTTTTCTCATCTCTATTATCACTAACCAGTTCTTTGCTGATCAGAATTAAGCTCAGAGTGCAGCTGGCTTCATCATACTGTTCTGAGAAATAGAACTGTCATTAAGGTCGGTCAAGAAATTAGTACTTTATCTTCGGCTGAATACATATCCAGTGGATGCTTTGTAATGTCATTCTCCATATTTCATCTTGCCTGCTTCAGTTTTATAATATTAATCAGGAAAATGTCATTTGTAACTTCCGTCTAGCCAAGATGTGTGAGCTCACATAACTGTAGCAAGTCTGTGTTTCATTTCTTTACTTTCAATAAAGAAACAAAATTCATAAATTTCTAAGGGCTTTTTACCTTCCCAAATGAAGCTAAGCCATTATCATTTTTGAGACTGTTTTACCCTGTGTTTGTGATACGTAGAGTAACAGGTCCCCAAATACAGTCACATCTTAAATTCCAGAAGTTGTGACTATGTTGTGGTAAAATTGACTTCATATTTAGGACTAAATTAAGAATCTTGAGACAGAGGAATTATCCTGGATTATCTGGTAGATGTGATATAAACACAGGGGGTTCTTGTAAGTGAAGAGGCAAGAGATTCACTATCAGAGAGATCTGAAAAGGCCATGCTGCCAGCTTTAAAGATGGAGGAAGGGGCCATAAGCAAGGAATTCAGGTGGCCTTTAAAAGACAATAGGCAAGAAAACAATATTCTCTCCTACATAATCCACAAAAGAATTCAGTTCTGCCAACACCATGATTTTAGAGCATTTTGAACTTCTGCCTTACAAAAATGTAAAATACAAAGCATGTATGACTTTCAGTCACTACGTTTGTAGTAACTTACAGCAGCAATAGAAAATGAATACATGAAAACTATCTAAAACTTGAGTTTTGTTTCATTATATTGTGGTGATATACTTCATACTTCCTGGATAAATTTTATCCATTATGTCAATTGGTTATAATTACTTCTCAGAAACTATGACAAAACTGAGATAACCGAATTTCAAACACTTTAAAAAAAACATCATTACTTTCTTGCAGAAAGTGTGTGCACTTTTTTTTCTAAGCAGAGGTCAAAAGTATTAGCTTTAACCCTTGTCAGTGGACTATTACTTGAACTTCTTTTACTATAGTGCTTTGCACCCCCACCCCTAATGTTGTGAGCAACACCATTTTATATGGTCTCCCTGTGTACCCCTACAGTTAGACAGAATCTACTTATTCTTGTGAGATGTACCACGGCCCTTAAGGGGATCACATTCTCCTCTTAACCACAGACTGAGACATCCTATCCTGTTCTCTGACAACACCTATGGATACTGTCTCTTGTATTGCACAACTTCCTTCCATGCTAACATTTCATCTTTCAAGTGGACAACACAGATCTGCCCCTTCTATCACGTAAGTCCATAGTTTCTGACTTCGAATTTTGGAGCTATGAGACATACTTTCCAGGTTTCCCTAACAGTATTGTGGGGTCACATGTGATTAGAATAGAGGGTAGTTTGAACCTTGGAACACTCTCATTCACACTTGCTGTTTTTCCCATGGAAGGAAACTCCACCCTCTAGTGCCCTGTCATTTCACCATGACAGTCTCTGTTTTCAATGGTGAGTCTTAATCATCAAACCAAGCCTCAGCCCCCTGAAGCCTTGATAAAAGTCTTTCTGCATTTTAGTATCTTTGTGTGCTTATAAGTGTTTGGCTGATTGAGAGATGCTTTTACTTCTCCACAAGTTTATGTTTTTTTTTTTTTTTTAAAGATTTGCCGCTGACCAGCACAGCAGTAGACGATGAGGCCGTCTCAGGGTTGAGAGAAGCGTGCAGGGTGGTCAGGGCGTTGGCGAAAGAAATGACAGACACACTTCAAGAGAGTGAAAATCTGAGTGTAATTTTCGTTGAGTTGGTGATCAGTATATAAATGTTTTCTAAGAGCATAGGAATGGTGAACATCAGTGAATGAAATCAACTTGCTTATAGGTTTTGCTTATTATTGACAGGGCAGTGATTTACATCTGGACCCAGGCGCATTCCTAAGTAGTTAGGCTATTAATTTTGTCTTTTGTTTTATATAATTACATTTTCTCCTAGCTAACCACTAAATTCCTTAATCATTATTAATTATAACAGGTGGACTTATTATTTTTTTATGTAATAACATTTTTTCATTAAGGATCAAAGCTAAGGAATTTTAACATATAACATAGCAATTATTGAACTAACAATTTTGTTGTTACACAAGGTTTAGTGGTGTTTCATTTGACTCATTCTTGTTACTAGATTTCACATGTTTCTTTAATTTAGCAATCAAAGACCTTTATAGAAGAGAAGGAAGAAGTTTTAGAAAGAGAGTGAAGGGATAAAGTTTGCAGGTTTGAGGAGACTAGATAAAGCTCCTTTTGGTCAGCATTATTGTGGTGGCTCCTGGTGGTCGTTATCTTTTGATAGGTATCTGTCTTATCTATGTCTTCAGGGAGTTTGCTGTTCTCCCCCTGCTTCAGGGAGTTTTGCTGTTCTCCCCCTGGGCACTGGTTCCTTGCCCAGCCAGACCTAGGGACCGTGGGGAAAGCCATTAGCCCAAAGGTCACTGCAGGGGGAGGTGCAGCAAAGATTTACTTATTTATGCATACAAGAGCTGGGGTACAGGCCAGAGATGCTGGGGGAGGGTGAGAGGATTCACCAGAGACAGAGTGGGGAACAGAACAGACAGACTAAATGAAATACACTGCTGAGAGGAGCAATGGGCAAGACAGGAGAGGTCTGCTGTGCCGTGTGGGTTGCTCCTTGGCCAGCTAGGGGATTGAACTCGTGCCGCAGAGGCTGCAGATTGCTTCATAGTGCGGTGCTTAACCCCTTGCGCCAACAGGGATGCCTGGTTTACGCTTTTTTACCATTACCCTCTGCAGATAGCATTCTGCATAACACAAGAAGTAAGTTTCCCCTTCACCTCTTCTTTCTCCCTAACCTCAGTGTTGTGCTCACCAATCTCTCAAATTTGGCTCCAGATCTCTCCTCCAGGCCACTGGCATACACCCTCCAGGGTCCGTTTTCCCTGGATCCCTTGAATTCTTCCATCCCAACTCAATAAATGATTATATTATATCTCACAAAGACCCGATATCTTTCTCCTAGACCCTGGCAGATTCTCTTTCTATCTCTTTAGTCCTGATTTCTCTACCACCTACTGAGCATCAATAATCAACAAGAAACTGAGCATCAATAATCAACAAGGAACATTAAAAAAACACAATTATAAGAAGAAAAAAAGCACATCTTACACCACAGCTACTTGTGATTAGAATGAATAATTTAATCATCAGGGTTTTTATTCTTTCTAGAAATCAAATTTTAATAGCCATATTTTTGTATTTGGGGCTACTTAATAAATACATTCTACCACCCAAATATACAATGCTTTTCAAAAGGTTTTCTGTTTCTATTTTGTAGTTGCTTCTGCTGACCTATAATTTACAGGATATAAGTACTGGCTTTCTAGAGACAGTTTCACCCAAGAACCTCCCCACCCTACCTGGGTTGGTGTAAAGCTGGCTTTCCACAGTTTTGCCAATGCACTGCAGCTTCACAGCCTGCAGGGAATCGTCCACGTGCACAATGGTTGGCAGACTGCCCAGCGTGTCCTGGACTAAGTTGGCCACTTCTCGGACATCAAAGAGCTTCAACAGCTCTGAGTACACAGCTGGGAAGGAGCTCAGAAACACGGCCTTAAAAAGAAGAAATTTATATCAAGCCCAGATAGGTCATGAGAAATTAGTTGTAAAATGTCAATGAATTTGAGACTGAAAAATATTTTTGAATGGTAAGAATATGCATGCAAGATATTTCTGGCACCTACAGCTCATAGAGCAAATTTTCTTTAGAAAGTGCAGCAAAACAGGATAATTTTTTGACATGTGTAAAGTGCAACATAATCAAAATTGGGAAATTCTAGATAATCACTAACAGTAGCAAGACAATTGGCAAAAATAACACAGATTCAGCAAATTACAGCATGATCAAATGAAAAGAATGCCCAAACCAGAACTAGAAAGTAGTGATTTAGATTACATTTCTTTTTGAGGCGTTTTCTTAAGTGCTTATTTAAATCTCACTTACCTTTAAGAAACCAAACACGTTAATTCCCTAAGGCACTCAATTTATGACGAAAGAAAAAAAAGCATAACAGGGCATTGGAAGATCTAGATAATACATAGCCTAGCTTTGCTTCTAATCACTGTATGACCCTTGAATAAGTCATTTTAGCCCCCTTAGTTTCAGCTTCAACATTTGTAAAATGAAAAGATCATTGGAACAATCCCTTTGGTTGCTTCAAGATTTAGTGTAAACTTAAAACTATGTACTAAGCACAATATTCTTCACATAAAGAAACCTGATAATCATCTTATAAGGGAAAAAAATGAAGCTAACAGCAAGAGTAAGAGGTGAAACAAATTCATTCTTTTAAAATTCCACAAAAGAAGGACAAGGGAAAGAAAGGTCCACCAGCCTGAGTTCTACCAGGAGGCACATACTTGAAATATGCTCAGAGCCAGTGAGGTCTGACACCAGCAGAAAACAGACTGAGTCAATATGTGCTGCTGTTGATTCAAATACAGAATCCAATTCAAATTTGTGGGTTTGGGTATTTACTTACAGAGCAGCAGCAAAAACATCTCAAAGAGGGAAGATCTGCTTTTGCTACCAGAGCCATCAAAAAGCTTAAGGTGCTATGGCTAACAGCCATGTTCTCCTTGACTCTTAAAACTTAGATTCATTTGAATGAGTTTAAAATGAATAACTTAGTATGTCTTATTAAAGACTGTATTTATGTAACCTTCATTTCACTCTGCAAAAGGCTGAGTCATACAGTGAAGTTTAAAAAAATAAAGTGAACCCAGCTTTCTGATTACTGAAAAGTCAACTAAGTTTTCTTCAGGAATTCTTTCATTTATTTATTAATTTTTTTATTTATACCTCTTTCCTTCAAAAAAGCATTTGAATGTGCCTGCAGTGCCACATCCAGATTTAAAAAGGATAAAGGAATTAACACTTTCTCATGAGGGCAGAGAGTTGTAACCAGACATCTGAACCAATGATAAAATGAAAGTACAATTGTGTTGTGGCCTTCCTGATAGACTGGATAAAGAGACAAAGATAATCATTAGAAATTTGAGCTAGAGTCTTGGGCATCAATTCCTGTCATTCCTTTTCTTGTCTTAGGTTCCTATGGTGGGATCAATCTACCGAATGTGAAACCAGGAGCCACACCACAGCGCTCAGTCATCCAGCAGTCCTGCCCAGGACAGGGCCCTCAAAGACAGAGTCATTGCGACCTGGCGTTAGGCCAGGATGACTAAATAAGCCTCTCCTAGGACCAGGATGGCCAGATATGTGGAGGGTGTCCCCTGATCCAACATGAAAGGTTGCTAGCATGGATGTTCTGCCTCCAGGAGACAGGATGTGCCCTGAGATGCATTCCATATGGAAAACAGAGCAAGTTAACTGGGTTTCTCGCTTTTAGGAAGCCTACTAGTAAAACTTGGACCAATGGATATCTTGGTTCTGGAGATAGCAGAGTTTGAGATGATCTCCAATACCTTTGTCCCATGGTTAGGTTATATTACTTGGCAAAAAGGACCTTACAGATATCATCTACTAGTGAGTTGATCTTAAAATCATCCAGATGTGTGTGACCTAATCACATTAGCCCTTAAAATAGGAGTTTTTCTCTGGCTTGTGACGGGCAAAACCAGAGAGATTTGGAGATGAGAAGGACATACTGTTGCTGGCTTTGATGATAGAGAGGTCACTTAGGAATGAGGTGGCCTCTGGAAACTGAGGGCTCCCTTCTTTTCCCCTACCCCAAAATGATAGCCACAAGGAAATGGGAATCTAACCCATACAAACACAAGGGAACTGAATTTCTGCTAAAAGTTTAAAAGATCTTGAAAGTAAATGCTTCCCCAGAGCCATGACATAAGCCATCAAACCCAATACTTTGATTTTGGCTACAGCAGACCAGAAGAAAAATTCTAACCAAGCCTCTGACCTACAGAACTATGAGTTAATAAATGGGTATTATTTTAAGTTATTAAGTATATCTTCCTTTGTTATATACCAATTGACAAGTAACACTCAATCAGATTAGTGGAACCTTTCTTCTTGGAAGAGAGAGCTATGAAGGTATAGGGTCAAAAAAGAACCTGAAATGGGTAGAAGTGCATAGCATTCTCCTTGTCTCTATAAACAGAGACACAAAGCCTCCTACTTATGCAGACAACCAAGCACCTGGTCATTTTATATGAATTTTTTCTTAGCATCAAACTAAAATACAATTTTCACACCAAAATCTACAAGGGATACTATACAAAATAATAGAGAATGACTTCAACAGAGTTTATGAAGATAGAAACTTTCTGTATACCTTTTATATATTACCTCCTAATGAGAAGCTAGGAGCAGAAAAAGACAGATTAAATATGATTCTTGGAAGGTGCTAAAGTTGTTTCACTAACTTGATTAAATAGAACTTAGACATCAAGAGCAGAGGAAGCCACTACAGTAAACAGATGAAAGGAGAGAGGCTCTATACCTGTACCTGAGCAGCCCCAGGCATCTCAGAGGACTGCTAGGTTTAGTGGAAACAAAACTAAGGTAAATGAATAGTTCTCAGAATTTAAAGACGGAAAAATTCTCTTAAATCTCTGTGAAGGCATATCAGTGAAAAATCACAACTTGAGGTTACTCCTAAGGGTAAGAAAATATTTTTCTGATGTGAACTCAATCCGTTTTATTCCTGTAACTGACAACAATTAAAAAGAAAAAAAAATCTCAAAATGAAAACTTAAATTTTCAATAGCTTTTGTAGAAATATCAAACTTCTGAGAAATTTGATCTAAAGGAATACAAACTAACTTGTTGGATTATCCTTTTCAAATATCAACTGCTGAGAGCAGGGTTTGGCTATAGGCAATCTGACATTGAGGACTCTGGCAAATTCCTAAAGTGCAGCTATTGCAACACTGAAGACAGAGGTCAAAATAACATTAAAAGGCCTGAAGTGTATCCTGGCCCAGATGGAAGATCAGTTCACTTCTGCAAGAAGAGAGTAACAAGAACAGCTTCCAAAGAATCAGAAAAGCATGGCACTATTATCGGAAGACTGCTACATTTCTGGTGTTTTATCACTATGTATTATTCCTTTCAACTTGCAAATGGCACTGAATTATAACAATCATTTTGGAACCTACTTTTTCTTCCTATCTCCCATTTTATGTCCCAATTCTTAATAAGCCTCTAATCTCCAGGGAACGACAGCAAAAAGCTGCTTCCCAATCTGACTGACTTTTAACCAAGTTATTAGAATTAAAACTGTACAAAAAGGATTAAGACAGTGTAGAGAAAGATATTCAGAATAAACTCTCAGACCATGTTCAAGGCCATGCTATTTGGAAAGTGGACAAGGTTCCTGTTCTTAACGGAAAACATGTGGAACTACTCCCGGTAATAGTATTTGGCAGCAGTTGCTCAGCATTGGTTATATAAGATCAGTCCTGGGAAGATTAGAATCAAGTTAAATAACACAAAATAACACACAGTTTAGTTGAGTCCAATACAATGACTCTCAAATTGACAGATTAAAGTGCAGTGCAAAGCGTGGGGAAAACAACTTCAATACATTGGCTCTAGCCTAATTCCTTCCCCAAGGCTGGCAGTGACAGAGCATCTAATCATCAGTAGGTGAACACCTACTGGAGTGCAGGCTAAGGAACCAAAAGACTCTCCCTCAGAGTGAGGGCGGCCTGAGGAAAGCAGCCCAGGCTCTGCTAGCACTAGAAGCTGGGGTACTTTTTAAGTCTAGGCAGCTAAGCTACACTTCTGAACTGGAACTATGAATTTCTCGTGGAAAAAAAAAAAATCAAGCTGATACAGAAAAATAAATAAACAAGACTTATTTTTCTTCTATTCAGCACAGATGAAGAAAAATTACCTGTGATTGAGACAGTGCTCCAGATCCTTTGCTCTCTTGAGAAAGAAAGAAACGCACCGACATTAACAGCTCCTGGATGCAACAGCGAAACTCCTCTTCATTTTGTCCACCAGTGGCAAGGGAGAAGAGCCTCCGAGATTGAACTATATACTTAAAAATATATTCTTGTGCCTTAAAACAAACAATTATAAAGTCAGTTTCAAAGGAGACCAAGAGTACTTATTTAACAAGGATAAAAACCGTGATACAGGGCCTCCCCTGGTGACGCAGCGGTTGAGCGCTGGGCTGCAAAGCTGCCCGCAGCCTCTGCAGCGCTGGTTTGATCCCCAGCCGCCAGCGAGGGTCCCACTTTGCGTGACAGACCTCTCCTGCCACGCCTGCTGCTCCCCTCAGCAATGTATTTCGTCAGTCTGCCTGTTCTGTTCCCGGCTCTGGCTCTGGTGAATTCTCTCACCCTCCCACGCTTCTGACTGTACCCAGCGCTTGTATAAATAAATAAATAAATCTTTAAAAAAAACACAAAAAACATGATACAATAGTACATTTTAAAATTATGATTGAAACACTAAGGCCCCATGAGATTTCTGAACTGTATTTATTAGCAGGGGAAGAGACATCTTTCTCTGATACCTAATGAGAGAAAATTTACAGTAATATAAATTTTTATGTAATTCTTGAGAGTTATAAACAAAGTGTTTGAGATCTTCAGATGGTTTTTAACTTCAGTCAACAAGGAGATAATTCTCTGCTTTTCAAAATGATATTGCTTTATAGGTAGGTATTCTTGCCACTTAGTTTACCTTTAATCAGACCAAAATGGTAAATTTATAATTAACAAATAGCTTGTGCTTTAAAACATACAGTTGTCTGCTTTTATCTACTGAAATCACCTAGGGTGCAATTCAACACAGGAATCAGAAAATTACATGGGCAGCTACTAGGCAATTCCATTAAGAACTAGATTTTTTTAGAACATGCTTGCAAGTAAGGTATTTACATCTCCATATTGCACTAAGCACATAGGGCCCAGAGACATGAGCAGTGTTAAACCATAATACCCAGCAAAACCTCAGGTTTCCTCAGTGTGACCCCTGCTAAGCCACCATACTCTGCTATAAAATTTAAGAAAATGGTTCTCAGATGGCCTCTGTCAGGGTGGCTGAGTCAAGACCCAGTAACTGCTGACCCCTCTCTCAGAAAACCTCCTTGGTCTTAGTCCTAAACTTCAAGTACCCTAGAGCCCACAGAAGCAGATTGTATCCCGAACAGGTTCCAATGAGTGAGTCTGGCAAATTTCCTGTCAAATTTCATCAGCTCTGGAACAGTCATAAACTGATTAAGATCTTTGAATTGGAATGTCAGTGCTATATCATCACCAATTACTGGCTGTCTGGAGGAAACCAATTAGTTTAGGCCCCTCTATGCAACAGTTCTGTCCAACGACATTATCTGTTCCGGACAATGTGTTATTACCTTCAACACCTCTTGGATGTGCTCTTGCCGCTCCGCTTCCGTTATCCTGTCCACATACCACTTCAGCACTTTGATGAGATCTCTAAAATGCAGGGAAGAATGTACAGAAGGTAGAATTGGTCTATTTCTCAATTAAATGCCAATATATCAAACACTTATTTTCGTCATGAGGAGGCTTCTTTTCCAATTATTTCTCACATTTTTCTGTCAAACTGCTGTAATGTAATAAATACACATAGTCTGTATATCAATAATATTACCTCCTTTTAAAGATTTATTTATTTATGTATACAAGAACTAGAGTACAGGCCAGAGGTGTGTGTGTGTGGTGGGGGGAAAGAATTCACCAGAGACAGAGCAGGGAACAGAACAGGCAAATTGACTGAAATACACTGCTGAGGGGAACAGCAGGCTAGTCAGGAGAGGTCTGCTGCGCCATGTGGATAGACCCTGGCTGGGGATCGAACTCATGCTGCAGTGGCTATGGATAGTTTCATAGGTTGCGTCTTAACCCCTTGTATCCCAGGGAGGCCCAATATTACCCTTTTTTGAAGCTGAAGAGAGAGAGTTTCTTCTTTCCCACTGAGACTCCTCTCAGTCTGGACCTATTCTATTGTTCCTGCTGGTTCTGGTAATGCTTTCAAGTGGGTGAACACAAATATCAGAGGAAAGGATTCTGGTGAAGAAGTGGTTGGAAGTAGGACTGTTCTAATCAGACTTGGATAACTGCTAATTCAGACTTTTTTCCTCCAGTGAAAAGAATATTCATTGGGTGAAATACTCAGCTGGAGGCAAAAAAGGGTGTTACAAGGGGTTGATGACAACAACCCTCACTTCAAACTAGACCCCCATGTGGACTTGTCAAGACAATACTCTGTGTTGTAAGAAGAAAAAGCTTACTTGGAACATGTGTCTTAAAAGAATTTCCAAAAAGTCAATTCAAAAATTGAATTAAAAACTCCCACAATTCTCAAAGTTATACTTTTACTACCTTTAACTCTGGCCAGTTCTCAGTTTCTACAAAACAGCAATTTTTAAAAAAGTTTCTGTTGGTCTCGGGTAAGAAGAATGCATGTTTAGGCCAGCAGGTAGATGCTGTTGGGAGAACTATTTGAAAGACATGTCAGTGGGTTTCTGATCACTCACATTCTGAGAAGATTCCACAGGTCTTATTTGTCTTGTTAGAACTGATTTTCCTACTTCATTATCAACCTGAAGTGTTAGAAATCACACCCTTGTCCTCTAGCTTCCAGTGACAACTTCAGTAGGAAGCTAAGAACTTCTCACTCCATGGCCCAATTTGTTAGGCCAAGTGACAGAGGTAGGCCAACATTTCAAAACGATCCCTGCTGTTACATTTCACACTCCAGAAAAAATCATGCTGATGAGGATCAGGTTTTGTGAAAACAGCATCTTAACATGCAATGATAGGGCATATCCAAGTTAAAAGAATCAAATGCTTATCTGATTACCACTATCTTTTATATATCACATAGATGGGGGAAAGAGTAAAATTCTATGCTCTTTTTCTAACATGCTCCTGGGACTAGATGATTGTGCATGTACATATCTCATAGGTGCTTAAGATAAAAATCATGGGCAGGGATATCAATAACCGTATTTGGAATGGGAGACAGAAATTTAGGGTACATTCCAGAGCTAGAGTTAAACAAGGACAAAGACCATGTAGATGCTAAGTGTAAGATAAAAGAGAAGCTAAGCTGTTGCCTTTCTAGCAATTATCAAATAGGAAACATGTAGTCTGGTATTAGTTCAAATATTTCATTATGCATTCACTTTTAGCCTTGCTTGCATAACCTGAGCTTATAGGAAAGGATAAGCAGTTAAGGAGCCGGTGTTGTCAAAAGGTAGAAACCAACAGCTGAATTGCTTGTAGCTCAGGGCCAGAACTTCACATTATTAGCACAAGCATAATACCCAGCACGCAGGTGACTCTAAGTATTAACAGATGAATGAATGAATGAATGAATGACTTTAAAATGGCAAAGGCTGTTTTCCTTCATATTTCTTTCTTAGCACTATATCTGGAATCATCAAGAAGTGTGGTTGGTGATTAAATGGAGCTCTTAGCAAATTAAAATAACTAGGCATTTTAGACCAGAGTATTGAGTGAAATAGAGATAACACTTCACATTGTTCATTTTTACCTCTTTCTTTTCATCAAAGTTTTAGCCATTAAAAAAAAGGCAAGTGAGTAGAGAAGATTGTGTCTCAAGAGATACTTCAGTTGTTATACTTCTTTTCTTCCTAAATTTCCTTTAAATGCTACTATACAACTGGTTCTGCTTAGAGAAGCTCAAAAGGAACTGCTTCTAAACCAATTACAAGATAACGGGTCTTACCTGTATGCAAGTGCCCCAGCAAAATGACTCTCAATGTAAGTGTCCATTACCGGTTTAAAATGATGAAATTTGCTATCTTGTAGCAAATTTATTATGTGAACCTAAAAAGAAAATTGAGCTTTTTAAAACCAAATGCAAACAGAGATTTTAAAAATTCTTTTTAAGTGAACTCTTATGCTGTAAGTGCACATTTCTGAAATAGTTCTATGGAAGTTAAAATTGAGAGACAAAATTGTTCAGGGGTAATTACAGTGAATTTAAACTCACCAAAGAATCAAACACTTTAGACCCATATTTTTGGGAATTTTCATCTAAAATTCCAAATAAGGTATCCAGTGTATCTTGCAGAAACTGTTAAAGAAAGTAAAAGTAAATGAATAAATTAAATTACCAACTATTCTTGCCCTCCAAATAGTCTGTATTCTAGGAACTGCCAGTAGAGGGATAATAATAGAGCATATACCTTTACTATCTCCGAGCCGTCGATTTCTTTTAATTTAGAGAGACAGCCTGTGATCTTGTCTGGGTGGGTTCTCCATTTCAAAAGATCAAGCATATCACCTTTCCAAACAGAAGAGGAAGATTAATTGCCTTAATGGAGAATAGCCTTTCATGTGAAGGAGCTCTAAGGGTAAAAGCTGAATTCTATAACATGTTGTTGAGCCCTCCTGGTTATCCAAGCTGTGGGCTCCCCCAGACTATGACTTACCCTCTAAGATGGTATTTATTACAGTGTATTTCCTCCTTCCCAATGCTCTTGACTTGATAACTGTCCCTGCTATGTGCTTCTACCTCACAATAGCACTTCTCTCACTATTAAGGTTTGTCATCTATATGCCCCACTGGACTGTACACTAAGAGGGAAAAAGCCACACATGCTAAGCTTGGTCCTATGGTATTCCCAGGACCCAGAACAGAGTAGGCATAGAGCAGGCAGTTGATACCTACATGAAGGATTTTCTACCTTCTCCTAGAAAAGTCAAGTTTCTTGAGGACTATGAACATACTTCATTTTATTTCTGCCTCTAGCACATAGCACTCTTCTTGGCAACCTATTCCATCTGGTAATGAAGATCTTCTTGATAATGTGACCCAACCCTGGCAGGGCTAGGAGATCCCTGCACCAACTGCCAAGTCTAGTTAATCATAAGATCACGGAGTGAGCCCTCAGACCCAAGGGCCAGGTCCCAGGCTCTGTCTTCCACCCTAGATCCTGCGCAAGCACAGGGCCCAGCTCTTCAATTTTCTCTCCCCCCTCAAGTGCCAACACAGAGACTACGAATCTAGCAGGGTTATCTGAAGAGGGAACAAATCCTTCCCTTGTCTTTACTGGGAAGAATTTAAAAAGTCTGATGATGCTATCCAGCTCCACTAGTCTCCAAAGGGAGCAAGAGATGGTGTCATCTGGAGGCCAATGAAAAAGAGCTAACTAGGCTGCAGAAGGTGGGAAGTGCACAGGCCGGGGGCCTGGCAGGGCTGGCCTTACCATGCCCAGTGGGGCTGAGACTGTACACTGCCCAAGAGAGTTGTCTAGAAGGAATACAAGAGAAAAGCCAGGGAATGGATTTTCCAGGCTTAACAGTTAAAACTCCACTTCAACACGTTTGTTGCAGGAGAAACCCAAATAGAACTTGCTGAAATACAAAGACCAACATAGAAACAAAGAAAAGACTATTTAAAATATGCAAACGTGACATATTAAAGAGATATGAGGGAAAAAATACAAACTCTAAGAAGAAAGAGAAGCCACTTCCACCGAAGACACAGTCAAGAAAAAAGATTCAACAAGGCATTAATGGTAAGAAATTTAGTAGTAAATAGCAATGCTTATCTCAAACAGGGATAACCAGCGGAGGATGATTTAGACTTAGAAAAATGAGGGAATTTAAAAAATACTGGCTTGGAAAAAGATTTATACAGTTTTCATAACAGAAAAACCTGAAAATATTTAATATTCATGTTTAACTCAGACATCCTGGAGGCATGATTGAAACCTTTTTAAAAATGATTGGTTATATTTAGACGATTAGATATTTCCACAGGGGCAGAGGCAGTACTGCATTATCCTCCCAGTCTGTTTGCTGCCTCCCGCCTACCTACTTCCTACTTCCTGCATCTAACTTCAGGATGCCTGCCTTCTCTGGCATCTCATCTTTTGTAATTCCCCTATGCCTCTTTCCCTGGCATTCACTTTTCACTTCCCACTCCACCTCCATTCCAGCTCTCACTCAGTCTGTCTTCTCGATTCTTTCCTTGCCCTTGAGAGTGAGGTGTCCAGGCACTGCCCAGTTGAAGAATGGAGAGAGATGGCTCTGCTGGGCACAGTGGCACCATGAGAGGCCAGAGTGGGGAGCCAGAGGTAGGACTTTCATCGGCAGAGCTGGACAACAGATGAAAGTGGTCCAAACTATCAGATAAGGTTGGGACTGTTCTACTTTCCTGCAAGAAATCTGATGAATCTATAGACTTTTCATATGGGGCAACAGAGGAGTAAGGCAATATGTCTGGACACACTGAATCATGTATACAAAGTAATCAGATTTAAGTCAAAACTGTCTTCTCCTAGTTCTCTATTTTAGTTATTTGAAGATATAAGCATTGCAAATTAGCAGCTATGACCTACCACTGAAAGTTTTATAGATTCCAATGAATTTTATATATTCATTTAATATACATTTATTAATTGCATATTGTATACCTAGCTACAAAGAGCTATGAAATAGGTGGATGATATGATGTTTATCTCTTTTTGCTTAATGACAATTTTAGGAACAGATTGACCGAACCACCCATTATTTGGAGAAGGGGGTGCAGGCAATTCAGTAAAACTGTACAACTCTTAAAGTGTTGTTTTCATTTTTTCTTAAATTTTTAAAAAAGCTGTGTTTTGTTGTCCAAGTATGCTAAAAAAGAAGCAAAATTATTTCTTTCTTGATTCCTACTTTTAAGGAGCTTAAAATAACTACTTGATCTGGCAATCACACATGTCCAGTAGAGTGGCTCAGTCTTGGTATACTATGTAAGAACAACAAAGAGAGGGTGCAAATAAACACATTTTAGGGATCTGGAAATGCAAATCTGCTGTAGAAAACTGTTCCTAAAGACCACATCACTTACTGAATGCACAATTGTAATGGAAATGAGATTTGTGTATTTTCCAAGTGAAGTAAAATGAATACAAAGTAATTTAACTCCAATTTGGAACTGGATTACTTCTACACAGAGATGTGTGTCTAGCATGTAAATTTTAGACAGATCAACTAATTCTTCTTTGCTTTCCCATCTCTTTGAAACACACTATTCATTTCCTGGCTCATTTTGAGCTGTCTTACACTGACAAGGTTTATCAAAGTCAAATGATAATTAAGTATTTATCAGCCTCCAAAAAAATGAGCCAAGCATCGCCTTACATATAATGAGATGTTTAATATAATGACATCATGAATACTACTTAACCCTATTTACCTGAAGTGTGTTCTGCTTTTACAAAGTAGACACGTCTAAATTTTCACAATTTGGCTGTTTTATGTTCTGACACCTTAAACACTAGAACTAAAAAAATACATCAAGGATGCAGGGCCAAATATTTTCATGGCAGAAAATCCTTTGTTAGATTCATTTACTTACTTTGGTCCCCAAAGATGTTAATGGGATATCCTAGAGTCTTGGTAGACTCTATATGGCAGACCTTATATGGCAAAAGGTAGACCTTATATGGCAAAAGAGATTGTACAGATGGGATAAGAACAAGACTTTAAAAGAGGTAGATTATCTCAGATTTTCCATGGGGTCTAATGTAATCACTAGAGTCCTCAAAAGATGCAAGATGGGCAGAGTCAGAGAGATTGGAAGATGCTATGCAGCTGACTTTGAAGACAGAGAACAAGTCAGAAGCCAGCAAACACAGGTGGTCCCTAGCAGCTAGAAAATTTTTAAAAAAGGATTCTCTTGAGAGTTGTCTAGAAGGAATACAAACTTATTCAAACCTTGACTTTGGTCAGTGAAACTGAATTCAGACTTTTGACTGCCAAGATAATACATTTTTGTTGGTTTAAGCCAATAAATTTGTAGTAATCAATATTACAACAATGTACTAACTAGCACAACCTGAAAATATTCTTCTGGAGGCATTACTTAAGTGTACATTTAGGCTCCACAACAGACACTGAATATACACAAGACAAATATAAATTCTGTCTAAAGGAGTCAATAACAGGATGATTTTATTATCTTCATAACTTCCACAGGCACACAAAAAAATATCTGAGTTTGATTAATGTTTTAAGATCAGTACAGAGTTATGCCAACGTGGGTTTTACTGCAGTAAAATCACTATCCCTGAAATAGTAATAAAAACAGGTATAAGCTAACATAACTTGGTGATAGCTCCTTTCAATCAAATTTACTAAAAATAAATTATGCAGTTGATTTAAAAAAAAATCTTAGTCCAAAATACTTTGGGAAGGGGAGAAACACAAACTCGTATAAATGTGAGAAAATCATTTGCCAATGATGTCCTATATAAATATAGTAGCAATGCATGAGAAATCAAGAGGTATTTTACAATTGCTCAATCTTGTAGAGCTACATTTTGCTTCTTTTCTGATGTGATATTCTAGGAGAAACAAAAACATTCCCTACCACAGATGTTATTCTATGACACAGAAGAAAAATAATAAAACTTACAAATGTTCAGGCAAAAGAGCATTTTTTTAGACACAACACCTTATTATGAAGTGATTCTCCTCAACATTAATAAGTCTGACTTATTAACATAGTGTCCGGGATGCTGGTGAGAAGTCTTACATGGCAGCAATGTTTTCATGAATTCAAAAACGCTTTATTTATTTCTTCATTATAGATGATGTTTTTATGACAACTTATCAACGATAAGATCTTGCTTTATTAATCATAACTTGCTAAACAATCACTGACATCCAAAGGAATGTTAGAAAAGCAGTATCTATCTAATTAAATAAAAAGGGACTTTATTCTAAAGCCTGCAATAAGTACTGTCTACAATACTATGAAACAGATTATGGTGGTGGTATTCCTTGCCTTTTTCTTTTTCTTAAGCAACTGGGCTTTGATATCTACTCGAAGAGTTATATATTTGTTCCAATACTGGGATAATTTTGAAGTCCTTAAATTACAAGCATTTATCAGATCATTGGGTAACAATTGTTTTCTTTTATTGGGAACCACAAGCAGGAGGCTCAATAATTTTCTAGTGCAAACTTCTTAAATATAACATTGGTGCTCATTGCATTTGCCCACCAAAATTCACATGAGTACTTAAGTACAGGGTTTTTAAATAAAAGAGTATCATATATTACCATTCTGTGTGAGTTTTGTAGAACAGAGAAAAGACGTTATCCAAAATGACTCCTTTGTGGCCTTCACGACTTGGTTATTATTCCCAAGGAGAATACCCTTGGAAAAGGGAAGTTTGAGGTAGCGGGTAGTGTCCTGAAGATTTGTATTTTCTTCACACTGTCAAAAATATTTAAAAAATAAAAGGGAGAGGGGAAGAGAAATCATGAGAATTATTAATCATAATTTCCAGTTCTAGTGTTTATGAATGGGAAACATTCCAAACAGCATTACAAATAGAATTTGGCTTTTCAGTAAAATGTAACAAAAATGTATGAAAGGAAAGAAGCATGGGTTTTGGACTCACACTGTTCCGGGTTTGAATTCCAGCTCTGTCACTTCCCACACAAGTAACTCTTATCAAGTTATTTAACCACTCAAGATTTCCCTTTTCTATCTCTAAACCTCAAGTGTTGTCATAAGAACCAGATTATATAAAGCCTTTAACACAGAGTCTGATAATTTGGAAGTGCTCAAGAAATCATTTTTATAGTGATCACAGCATTTTAAAAGGATGTTTTAATTCTTCCAGCATCTCATCTGAGGCAGCTAGTAAACAACGCCTGACCTTGAAAACTGGCAATTAAAGAAAACTGTATTCCTATCTAATCTCATAGTCCCACTATGAGGGAACTCTACTTCACAGAAAATGCCAGCTAACAAATATAAAAGGAATCAAAGATTTCAAAAATTTAGTTTTAGAACCCTGATGGAATCATTAGATTTGTCAGGGATAGTCAGTTAATGTTAAAAGCAGCAGGAAAATTGTTGTTGAAGAATTAGACATTCCTAGGACACAAAGGGAGCAACACAGATCACTTCTTACTGGCAAGCGGGCAAAAATAACTGTACACAGGAGGATGGGCTTTTCATCACATTCATCAGAGAGTGTGAAGAAACTATCATCATCTAAGTGCCTTCTTGCCAAGGGTGCTGAACCTGAAGCTCTCACACCCACAGATTCAACTTGCACATCAGAGCAAACACGAGGGACACGGCAACATCTGAACACCACCGCAGGAAACAACCAGACAAATCTAGCAGGCAGCATGCTCTGCAGAATACCTGCCCTTTCTTATCAGATCTAGAGTTGTACAAAAAGGAATCATTCTAGATTAAACCAAACTTAAAAGACAGTCAGATGCAACATATGGTCCTGGATTTTAATAAGCTTGCTGAAAAATATTTTTGTAAATTTATATATTGACTATATTCTAGATGAGGTAAAAATTTATTGACTGGAAAACTCACTGATAAAAAAAAGTATATATATATATATATATGGATATTTTGGTTGCTTCATTTGCTATACATGTATATATGAGTGTGCCTGTATAAACATCTATATGTATATATAATACTTGTGTCTGTAGATACTGGTTGAAGCAACAAAGATATGCTTCAGTAGGTGAGTAGATAAACTGCATTACGTCCAGACAACAGACTGCCACTCATCATTAAAAATAAGTGAGTTATCAAGTCATGAAAATACACAGAGAAAACTTGAATGCATATTGCTAAGTGAGAGAAGTCAATCTGGGAAGGATTCACACCATGATTCTATCTATGTGACACTAATGGAAAAAAACAAAACTAGGACAATAAAAAAGTAAGTGGTTGCCCAGGGTTGGGGAAGGATGTATAGGAGTTGCACAGAGGATTTTTCAGGGCATTTAAAATGCTTTGTATGATGTTACAATGATGGGTTTATATCATGGTATATCTGCCCAAACCCATGGAACATAAAACACCCAGAGTGAACCAATGGTAAACTGAATTTGGAGTGATTATGATGTATCAATATATGTTCATCTATGATTAAAAAGTATATCATTTTGGTGAACGATATTTATAAGGGAGGCTGTGCATGTGTGGGGTCAGGGAGTATGTGGGAAATCTGTTATCTTCCCCTTAATTTTATTGTAAACCTAAAACAGTCTATTAAAAACATTTTAAGTAATAAAATCTGTATAAAATAACCCATACAGAAAAACATCTATAAGGACATACCCTCTGGGGCTAACAAAATCATCTGGGTAAGGGAACATGGTGTTTTCTTCAATTGTGAATTATCTGTGTTCTGCTATTGTAATGATAAAGGTGATTTTAAATTAAATTTTTTGTGATAAATATGGAGCTATTATATCTTAGATTCTTTTGAGTATAATTTCAAATCTTAATCCTTTAAATTTGTTTAAATGTTTTTGAAGCTAGTGTCTGATAACAGGCAGGAGTGTAAGCACAGACTCCCTGTTATTCTAGACAGTTTTGTGTGATTTCACTATATATATGAATTTTTAATAATAAATCTTTAAGAAAGACCTTTCTAACAAGTATAGAAAAACAGAATCTGAGTAGTACAGGATGCTTTTAGCTGCCCAGGAAAGCAGTACCAATAAACACAATAAATAGCCTCCATGAGTCTCTTCCTGAGTTACACCACTGAATGCTTTCTTTATTACTGGGAGTTATTTCACACAGACAGATGAGTGCACAAAACACACATATATGGTGTAGAGAATCATTCTAAAGTGAACACTTAAAATGCTTCTTCAGAAAAAAGTGCTCAGTCAAAGTAATGTTCTGGAGCCCCGGATCACTGTCCCCTCCCCTCGATCTTATTGGAATCAGGGCTTGGGACACAGCAAGTCACAGCACAGTCTGGTCCATGGGTTTAGGACCAGGTTCTGGTCTCCCATTCCTAGACTGACTTGTCCGTGTCTAATGATCACTTCCCATTGGAACTGAAGTCTCCTGCAAACCCAGCCAGGTCACTGCCCAGCTATTTCCAGGTATCCTACCCAGAAGCTGGATTCTGCCCTGGCCTTGTATGCTCCATCTATTAATGGGAATTCTGCCTCTCCAGATATCCTCTCTCAAATTCTCTTCTCCTAACTAATTGCCTGATTCCCATGCAGTCTTGAAATTCCTTTTCGATGTATTCTTCGGTTCTACTACTAGTCACAGACCAACCACTTTTGTGGCTGAAGATATGATGGCGGGGCTGTGTCCTTAGCACTGTGAATAGAAGACCAAGCTGCCTTCTTTTGTACCAGTTACGTGCGAGGCCAGTGCCACCAAACTTGCTTTACTTCACTTCTCCCACAGCCTGGGCGAGGTGGGGTGTCCTCAGATCTTAGCATCTGAGTCTGTCTGAGGCACGTGGGGCTGGATTAATTTTATATGTAATAAGTCTACAAGTCTCACATGCTTTGAAATCACCCAGGAAGCAAAAGGGATCACATGAGTAGGGGGGAGAAGTGGTACATAGGAGCAGATGAGGCATGACGCAGGCGCTGGGGAACAGAACCGAAGAGTTAGAGATCATCTGTTCATTCACTTGATGAGAGAAGATATATAGAAAACGAACAGGGTTGAGGAACAGTGGAGAGTGGAAATGGAATTCCTGAAAGTGAGACTATAGGGGCAACAGTCAGCAAGAGTTTAAGCTAAAAGTGTTCTCCAGTCTCTTCAGAGAGAATACAGTTCACTAGTAGAAACCAGGGAGAGGCAAAGTTAGCAGTACATTCCTTAGGCATTTTTTCAGTCAGGTAGGAGAAGAGTCTGTACTGTGAGTGCAATTCTGAATCAGGGTATGATCTCGAAAAAAATGAATGGGAACGAACACTCTCCTGTTTAAGAGAAGAACACAGAAATGAGGCTGGTAAAGTATGGCAGGGTGCTGCTGGTGCCTTAATTGGAAATACCAAGTACAACAGAGCTGCGGCTGGGTATTTGAGAGCCTGCCAGACCAAGCATTGCAGGCTCAACACCACAAAACTGCTGCTCCACACAAAACTACACTGCATGTAGTTATAGATGGTTTTGTCACCATAGTAAAATCCAGTTATACTCCTCAAGCAAATGTGTGGTTAAATATGGATCACTTGTACTCTGGGGAACATTTGCCTAACAAATGTTTTGGTTTGGGCATAGGGTCAATTTCTGTTTCCCATCAAATCCAGTGGAGGCAAGGGAGTAGGCAATGTGCATCTAGAGAACTCGAGGTCTTGTGGCAGATGCAGACACAGCTAAAGGGTTACTGGTGTTGTGCTGTATGTACACTGGGAGACAGATGAGGGAACAAGAATTGAGCCATTTTTTCTAGGAGAAACGAGGCAAAAGACCACAGTCTCTTGAGGCTGCTACTGGATTGTGAGAACAAAGTTATGCACAGGAAAGGACATTTCTCTGTGCTTTGATAAGCTGGGATCGGCGCAAGTCATCTTAAAATGGCATGGAGTTAATTTGCTACAAATTAAAGAGGAGAGAGCTGAGAACCAGTCCTCTACTTCACTACATTTGGGACTGAAATCAGATCTGACAGGAGAGATGTGCTCCCCTCAGACTCTTAGAGAAGAATTAAAATGTAGGTTTTGCAGTGGCAGCAGTCGTCTCAATCTTCTTTAAGGTTATATAGCTTGGCTCACAATCTATTTCTTCGCCCAGAATTAGAATCAATTGGGACAGAAGGGAATGGTGCATCAGGCCCAGTAATTTTTTTGACCACTGTCTCAGACATGTGGAAGGGAAGCACAGTCAGAAACAATGTGCCAGAAATGTAGTGTTTGCAATAATGCAAGCTGTGTGACTGGGAGATGCATGGCAACACTTTATTAATAAATCAACTGGTATAGAAATTCATGATCAAATTAAGGGGTCTATAATTGGTGGGAAGTAGAGAATCAGATTTAAAATATACAGTGAGTTAGGGAATCCATTTACAAGTCTAGATCATCACTTAATCAAAATAATTTAATGATGTGGTGGGAAAGTATCTTCTTTTTGGGACTTGACTCAACATGAAAGGCCATCTTTAATGTCACCATAAAACATTTATTAAATTGCTACTATTTGCCAATTCTCCAATTTCTACTGAGAATGTCACAAGGGGATAGGAAAGTATATTGGTACAGCATATATAGAAAACAATAGGTGGTTCCTTAAAGAACTAAACATGGAAACACAATATGACCTAGCAATACCACTCCAGGCATTTACCCAGATTATGAAAATAAAAATATGAAAAGATTTATGTGGCCCTATGTTCAGAGCAGCATTACTCATGATAGTTGCAACATGGAATCAACTCTAAATGCCCATCAACAGACAACCGAACA